CAGTACAGGAGGCGCATGCCAGACCTATTGTACATATTTTTAGTGGTAGGGGAAACCGGAGTACCCGGAGGAAACCTACGCAGACACGGGGAGAACATGTAAACTCCACTCAGAAAGGCCCTGGTCCGACCAGGATTCGAACCCAGAACCTTCTTGCTGAGAGGCCAGAGTGCTATCCACTCAGCCACCGTGCCGATGTCTCAGAGACACCATTTATTGTAGGCACTTAAGACTGTTTTACATTTTATTGTCCTCATGATGGCGGTATAGCAAATTAATCACCATGAAGTTTTCAACCATGTTAATGCTGCGATGCCTTTTCACGGGGCTTCATATTGCCATCTCTTATTTTCTTCTTTGTTTGTCAAACGTAAAAAGGGCCCACAGATATCCTCTTCTTTTCCTCCCAATCGTTGACATGTTCTTGTTCCTTTCATCAATGATGGACACTTTACAGGCTTATGTGAGTACTAAGCATGGATCTATTATAACCGGTGGTGTCAGCAAGCCCTCATTGGTCCTCCTGGTATATACTCTGGCCATTCGATTGGTTGTTTTCTCATTTGCTCTTATCTATCCGTTCATCTGATTTGATTTCGTCCTGGTTCATTTTTTGTCTCGTCTTCTATTCATGGACAAAAATGTCAATCAATTTAGTCATCTACATCGTAATGAATGACTTTGATTTTAGTTTTCGTTTCGTTTTTGTTCCCAAAAATATATTTGTGACGAAAAATATGATAATAATATATCGTCAACTAAATTAACACTGGCTTAGATGATGTGAAGCGATTTTGAGCCAAATCGGTGAAATAGCCAAGGCGAAGTTGATTTCCAACCGACGCAATGTAAACTGACTTTTGTAGAAGGCGTTGTTCGGGCATCTTTTTTGTCCCATGAAAATAAACACCAAAAAACAGTTTTTCGTCGGTTCTGAATTTTCATGAAAGTTCATGCATGTTCAGGGGGTCAAATTAAGGTTAAAAGTCCAGTTTATCATTGTTTGGGCATGTGCCACTGCGGTGCAGGTCACAATTATGACAGTTTCTGCAAAAACTGAACAAAAACAATAGGCAAGGCAAGTTTATTTGTATAGCAGAATTCATACACAAGGCAACTTAAAGTGCTGAACAAGATAGCATTAAAATCATAAATAATCACAGAACATTAAAAAGAAAGAAAATATAAAATCCCTCAGTTGTATGCATAGCTAAACAGCATTGTTTTTAACCTGGTTTTAAAAATTGTCAGAGAGGAGGCCTGTCTCACATCTTCAGGAAGATTGTTCCAGATTTTAGCAGCATGAATCTGAAAAGCAGCCTCCCCATGTTTAGTTCTGACTCTGGGCACTAACAGGAGTCCAGTCCCTGTGCTCCTCAGAGTCCGGGCTGGTTCATATGGGACTAACATGTCACTAATATAAATTGGTGCGAGGCCATGGAGAGACTTGTACACAAGCAGAGCTGTTTTAAAGTCTATTCTCTGAGCCACAGGAAGCCAATGCAGAGACCTGAGGACCGGACTAATATGGTCGTACTTCCTGGTTCTAGTCAGTACTCGAGCAGCTGCATTTTGAATGTACTGCAGCTGTTTTACAGCCTGTTTGGACAGACCTGTGAGCAGGCCATTGCAGTAGTCTAACCTACTGGAGACAAATGCATGGATAAGAATCTCCAAGTAGTAGTAAGTAAGTAAGTTTTTATTTATATAACGCCTTTTTCACTGCAGATCTGAGTCTCAAAGCGGTTTACAATAGTTAATTATGGGCATTTGTCTCTCACTCCACACAGAGATGGGAGCGGGGTCGCCAGTACAGGAGGCACATGCCAGAACTATTGGACATATTTTTAGTGGTAGGGGAAACCGGAGTACCCGGAGGAAACCTACGCAGACACGGGGAGAACATGCAAACTCCACTCAGAAATGCCCTGGTTCAACCGGGAATCGAACCCAGGACCTTCTTGCTGAGAGGCGAGAGTGCTATCCACTCAGCCACCGTGCCGCCCAGGTCTGCTTTAGACACTATGTTTTTGATCCTGGCAATGTTTTTTAGATGGTAAAAAGCTGCTGATGTTACTGATTTGATGTGGCTATTAAAATTTAAGTCCAGTATTACCCCTAGATTTCTGACCTGGTTTGAAGGTTTTAGGGAGAGAGACTGTAGATGACAGATGACGCTCTCTCTTTGTTTCTGGGGACCAAAAACAATCATTTCAGTTTTGTTTGCGTTTAGCTGAAGGAAGTTATTTTGCATCCACTCACTGATCTGTTGGATACAGTGAAGGAGTGGGTCCACTGGTCCATGTTCTCCTGCAGTCAGTGAGACATAGATCTGGGTGTCGTCTGCATAGTTGTGATAGGACACTTCGTTTCTGCGTATTAACTGACCTAACGGCAGCATGTAGAGATTAAACAAAAGAGGTCCCAGGATCGACCCCTGTGGTACTCCACAGGTCAGGGCCATATGATCTGAGACACAGTTTCCAATCTCCACAAAGTACTTCCTAAGTAAGACCTAAACCAACTTAGAGCGATGCCAGCGACGCCAACCCAGTCCTTTAGTCTATTTAAGAGGATCTAATGGTCGACAGTGTCAAAGGCAGCACTCAGATCTAACAGGATTAGGATTGAGACTTTGCCTGCGTCAGTGTTCAGCCGGATATCGTTTCCATGGTAACGTGCAAAACAAATGATACGCTGTTTTAAAACAAACAAGCGGACTATGCAACTATTGCATTGACGAGCTCGTCAATCACCTCGACTTCATGAGGTCACCCACCCCCTCCATAAGACCCCATTAATTTCACAGGGCACTTCAGCAGGCGTAAGGCCATTCAGTGACTCCAGCACTGATTTATCAGTGTCCGGAGTACGCGCAGGTTGGGCGTGTGGGACGAATGTCCCTAAGACCAGCACTAGTTAGACCCACCCATGCTCACCCCCGCAGCCTCCTGGTTGGTCAAAGTGGTTGTCACTGTTTGCTGGTTGTCCAGCATACCTTATGGGTATAGTTATGCCAAGGGAGGAACTGTTTTCATTCTATTATTGTTGGAACGTGATACTTGATATATTAGTGTACCATGGTCAAAAATATAGAATCTCTTAAAAATGAAATATAAATAAAAAAGAAACCGAAAGTAATATTTTTGTTTTCTTTTATATGTGTCCCCAGATGTTGGATCAACATGTACAACATTTGTACAGGAAAGGCCATAGAGCTAGTTATAACAGAGTTATTCTCAGCCCTCATTTGGGTTGCCAATTTAGTCGATGAAATGGTTTTGGCTCTTTTTATTTCAAAAACTGAATTCACAAATAAACTAATAGCACCACACATGTTAAATGAAAGCTTAATGCAGAGTTGGCAGAGATTCAAGCTAAACCCAAACGGGTGGATTGCATCAGCATGTGTCACAGGCAACATAAGTGGGATTGCAACTGTAATGATTTAAATAACTAGAAATGGTACAATGGCTGAAGCCATTGTGAGTGGCTGCATAGATGTTGGAAGGGTTAGGGATGAAGAAGGAAGAGGAAGGGGAAGAAGGAGGAAGAAGGAAGAAGTTGAAAGAAATAAAAGAAGAAAGAAGAAGTAGAAGAAGAAAGAAAAGGAAAGAAGAAGAAGAAGAAGGAAGAGGAGGAAGAAGCCGGAGGGAGGAAGAGGAAGCGGAAGAAGGAGGAAGAAGAGGAAGAAGGGGGAGATGGGGAAGAAGAGGTAGAAGGGGAAGAAGAGGAAGAAGGGGAATAAGGGGAAGAGGAAGAAGGGGAAGAAGAGGAAAGAAGAATAAGACAAAGGAAGAGGAGGAGGAAGGTGAAGAAGATGAAGGTGAGGAAGATGAAGAAGAAGATGAAGTAAGAATGTGTTGTAAAGTGCTGACTGTGTTGTAAGGTGCTAAATGTGTTGTAAGGTGTTGAATTTGTTGTAAAGTGCTAAATGTGTTGTAAGGTGTTGAATGTGTTGTAAGGTGTTGAATTTGTTGTAAAGTGCTAAATGTGTTGTAAGGTGTTAATTTGTTGTAAAGTGCTAAATGTGTTTTAAGGTGTCGAATGTATTGTAAAGTGCTAAATGTGTTGTAAAGTGCTAAATATGTTTTAAGGTGTTGAATTTGTTGTAAAGTGCTAAATGTGTTGTAAGGTGTTGAATGTGTTGTAAAGTGCTAAATGTGTTTTAAAGTGCTAAATGTGTTGTAAGGTGTTGAATTTGTTGTAAAGTGCTAAATGTGTTGTAAGGTGTTGAATTTGTTGTAAAGTGCTAAATGTGTTGTAAAGTGCTAAATGTGTTGTAAGGCGTTGAATGTTTTGTAAAGTGCTAAATGTGTTGTAAGGTGTTGAATTTGTTGTAAAATGCTAAATGTGTTGTAAGGTGTTGAATTTGTGTTAAAGTGCTAAATGTGTTGTAAGGTGTTGAATTTGTGTTAAAGTGCTAAATGTGTTGTAAGGTGTTGAATTTGTTGTAAAATGCTAAATGTGTTGTAAGGTGTTGAATTTGTTGTAAGGGGCTAAATGTGTTGTAAAGTGTTGAATGTGTTGTAAAGTGCTAAATGTGTTGTAAGGTGTTGAATGTGTTGTAAAGTGCTAAATGTGTTGTAAGGTGTTGAATTTGTTGTAAAGTGCTAAATGTGTTGTAAGGTGCTGTAAGTGTTGTAAGATGTTGTAATGTATTGTATCTGTGGTAATGAATTGTTAGTGTGGTAATGTGTTGTATGGGGAGTAATCTGTTGTACTGGTCCAATGTAAGTCAATGGGAAAAAGTGCTTGAACTTTTGTTAATATCTGAAAAAGTGCTAAAGGTGGAAGTGTGAAAAGTAATAGCAATAATGAGACGGTGAAGCCGGTCGTAACGATGTATAATTTGTTGAATTTGGTGAAAGCGTTGAAGAGTTGAAAAGTGCCAAAATCTGGCGGAAGTGGAAGAAGAAGAAGAAGAAGAAGAAGAACTAGAAATGGTACAATGGCTGAAGCCATTGTGAGTGGCTGCATAGATGTTGGAAGGGTTAGGGATGAAGAAGGAAGAGGAAGGGGAAGAAGAAGGAAGAAGAAAGAAAAGGGAAGAAGAGGAAAGAAGAAGAAGGAAGAGGAGGAGGAAGAAGAAGAAAGGGAAGAAGGGGAAGAAGAAGAGGAAGAAGAGGAAGAAGGGGAAGAAGAGGAAGAAGAGGAAGAAGAGAAAGAAGAGAAAGAAGGGGAAGAAGAGGAAGAAGGGGAAGAAGAGGAAGTAAGAAGAATGTGTTGTAAGGGGCTGAAAGTGTTGTAAAGTGCTAAATGTGTTGTAAAGTGCTAAATGTGTTGTAAAGTGCTAAATGTGTTGTAAAGTGCTAAATGTGTTGTAAAGTGCTGAATGTGTTGTAAAGTGCTAAATGTGTTGTAAAGTGCTAAATGTGTTGTAAAGTGCTAAATGTGTTGTAAAGTGCTGAATGTGTTGTAAATTGCTTAATGTGTTGTAAAGTGCTAAATGTGTTGTAAGGTGTTGAATTTGTTGTAAAGTGCTAAATGTGTTGTAAGGTGCTGAATGTGTTGTAAGGTGTTGAATTTGTTGTAAAGTGCTAAATGTGTTGTAAGGTGTTGAATTTGTTGTAAGGTGCTAAATGTGTTGTAAAGTGCTAAATGTGTTGTAAGGTGTTGAATTTGTTGTAAAGTGCTAAATGTGTTGTAAGGTGTTGAATTTGTTGTAAAGTGCTAAATGTGTTGTAAGGTGTTGAATTTGTTGTAAAGTGCTAAATGTGTTGTAAGGTGTTGAATGTGTTGTAAAGTGCTAAATGTGTTGTAAGGTGTTGAATTTGTTGTAAGGTGCTAAATGTGTTGTAAGGTGTTGAATGTGTTGTAAAGTGCTAAATGTGTTGTAAGGTGTTGAATTTGTTGTAAAGTGCTAAATGTGTTGTAAGGTGTTGAATTTGTTGTAAGGTGCTAAATGTGTTGTAAGGTGTTGAATGTGTTGTAAAGTGCTAAATGTGTTGTAAGGTGTTGAATTTGTTGTAAGGTGCTAAATGTGTTGTAAGGTGTTGAATGTGTTGTAAAGTGCTAAATGTGTTGTAAGGTGTTGAATTTGTTGTAAAGTGCTAAATGTGTTGTAAGGTGTTGAATTTGTTGTAAAGTGCTAAATGTGTTGTAAGGTGTTGAATTTGTTGTAAGGTGCTGAATGTGTTGTAAGGTGTTGAATTTGTTGTAAAGTGCTAAATGTGTTGTAAGGTGTTGAATTTGTTGTAAGGTGCTAAATGTGTTGTAAGGTGTTGAATTTGTTGTAAGGTGCTAAATGTGTTGTAAGGTGTTGAATTTGTTGTAAAGTGCTAAATGTGTTGTAAGGTGTTGAATTTGTTGTAAGGTGCTGAATGTGTTGTAAGGTGTTGAATTTGTTGTAAAGTGCTAAATGTGTTGTAAGGTGTTGAATTTGTTGTAAGGTGCTGAATGTGTTGTAAGGTGTTGAATTTGTTGTAAGGTGCTGAATGTGTTGTAAGGTGCTGAATGTGTTGTAAGGTGCTGAATGTGTTGTAAGGTGTTGAATTTGTTGTAAAGTGCTAAATGTGTTGTAAGGTGTTGAATTTGTTGTAAAGTGCTAAATGTGTTGTAAGGTGCTGTAAGTGTTGTAAGATGTTGCAATGTATTGTATCTGTGGTAATGAATTGTTAGTGTGGTAATGTGTTGTATGGGGAGTAATCTGTTGTACTGGTCCAATGTAAGTCAATGGGAAAAAGTGCTTGAACTTTTGTTAATAGCTGAAAAAGTGCTAAAGGTGGAAGTGTGAAAAGTAATAGCAATAATGAGACGGTGAAGCCGGTCGTAACGATGTATAATTTGTTGAATTTGGTGAAAGCGTTGAAGAGTTGAAAAGTGCCAAAATCTGGCGGAAGTGGAAGAAGAAGAAGAAGAAGAAGAAGAAGAACTAGAAATGGTACAATGGCTGAAGCCATTGTGAGTGGCTGCATAGATGTTGGAAGGGTTAGGGATGAAGAAGGAAGAGGAAGGGGAAGAAGAAGGAAGAAGAAAGAAAAGGGAAGAAGAGGAAAGAAGAAGAAGGAAGAGGAGGAGGAAGAAGAAGAAGGGGAAGAAGGGGAAGAAGAAGAAGGGGAAGAAGGGGAAGAAGAGGAAGAAGGGGAAGATGAGGAATAAGAGGAAGAAGGGGAAGAAGAGGAAGAAGGGGAAGAAGAGGAAGAAGAGGAAGAAGGGGAAGAAGAGGAAGAAGGGGAAGAAGAGGAAGAAGTGAAGAAGATGAAGTAAGAAGAATGTGTTGTAAGGGGCTGAAAGTGTTGTAAAGTGCTGAATGTGTTGTAAGGTGTTGTAAAGTGCTAAATGTGTTGTAAAGTGCTGAATGTGTTGTAAAGTGCTGAATTTGTTGTAAAGTGCTGAATGTGTTGTAAAGTGCTAAATGTGTTGTAAAGTGCTGAATGTGTATTCAAGTGCTAAATGTGTTGTAAAGTGCTAAATGTGTTGTAAGGTGTTGAATTTGTTGTAAAGTGCTAAATGTGTTGTAAGGTGTTGAATGTGTTGTAAAGTGCTAAATGTGTTGTAAAGTGCTTAATGTGTTGTAAAGTGCTAAATGTGTTGTAAAGTGCTGAATGTGTTGTAAAGTGCTGAATGTGTTGTAAAGTGCTAAATGTGTTGTAAAGTGCTAAATTTGTTGTAAGGTAGTGAATTTGTTATAAAGTGCTAAATGTGTTGTAAGGTATTGAATTTTTTGTAAGGTATTGAATGTTTTGTAAAGTGCTAAATGTGTTGTAAAGTGCTAAATGTGTTGTAAAGTGATGAATGTGTTGTAAGGTGTTGAATGTGTTGTAAAGTGCTAAATGTGTTGTAAGGTGTTGAATTTGTTGTAAAGTGCTAAATGTTTTATAAGGTGTTGAATGTGTTGTAAAGTGCTAAATGTGTTGTAAGGTGTTGAATTTGTTGTAAGGTGCTGAATGTGTAGTAAGGTGTTGAATTTGTTGTAAAGTGCTAAATGTGTTGAATTTTTGTTAAAGTGCTAAATGTGTTGTAAGGTATTGAATGTGTTGTAAAGTGCTAAATGTGTTGTAAGATGTTGAATGTGTTGTAAGGTGCTAAATGTGTTGTAAGGTGTTGAATTTGTTGTAAGGTGTTGAATTTGTTGTAAGGTGCTGAATGTGTTGTAAGGTGTTGAATTTGTTGTAAAGTGCTAAATGTGTTGTAAGGTGTTGAATTTGTTGTAAAGTGCTAAATGTGTTGTAAGGTGTTGAATTTGTTGTAAAGTGCTAAATGTGTTGTAAGATGTTGTAATGTATTGTATCTGTGGTAATGAATTGTTAGTGTGGTAATGTGTTGTATGGGGAGTAATCTGTTGTACTGGTCCAATGTAAGTCTATGGGAAAAAGTGCTTGAACTTTTGTTAATATCTGAAAAAGTGCTAAATGTGGAAGTGTGAAAAGTAATAGCAATAATGAGACGGTGAAGCCGGTCGTAACGATGTATAATTTGTTGAATTTGGTGAAAGCGTTGAAGAGTTGAAAAGTGCCAAAATCTGGCGGTGGAAGAAGAAGAAGAAGAAGAATAAACAGTAGGAGAGCATATAGTGGCTGCATAGTCTATGCAGCCACTCAATAAACAGTAGGAGAGCATATAGTGGCTGCATAGTCCACAGCAGGTCTCGATTTAGTTTAGATCCTGGGCTGGTCTTAGCTCGCCATCAGATCAAGATCGGCCCGAATGGGGCACACCTGGCCTGTATTAAATAAACAGTACCAAATCAGAATATATATAAACTCTAGCTAGCTTGTACACAATAATCAATATACACTATTTATATAAGTGCACAATAAATCATTACATTTCAATCAAAGGTTCTCTTATCAAAACAATGAGTTACTTAAAACACAACAGTAGTACAAATGTTACACAATTAATCAACAGTACAAGCAGTCATTATGAGCACCAGCAATGATGCTAGTGCATTTTTGTTGCTAATGCTAACAACAACAAACAGATTCACCAATTCTCTTTATAACTGAGCCTAACCAGCACCCAGCGTCTGCAGCGGTAGCAAGGCCCTCTGTGCAGCCGCCCAGTGTCGCCTCTGCCCACGGGAGACACAGCTGGCTCCCAATTGCCGGTGACTCTGCTCTGATTGGCTGAGCGCACTGCGTGTGTTTGTGTGGCGCATGTGAAAGGTGAGAGCAGATTCAACATAGAAAATATTAACATATTGTCTCTTTTAATAAAAAGGAAAATTTTAATGTGGGTTACATCTCCTTCACACATCAAGAATGAATAAGTCTCTCACTGAAGCTGCTCTCCAGAGCAGGCAGTGTATCGTGCAGGGGGTGACAGTCATGGTCCAGCATAGATGTTAGTTTATCCAGGACCCTCCTGTCCCCCACCTGCTGCACTGTGTCCAGGGAAAAGCCCAGGACTGAGCTGGACTTCCTGATGACCTTGTCCAGCTTCTTCCGGCCCCTTTCTGTGATGCTGCTGCTCCAGCAGACCACACCGTACAAGATGCCACCACAGAGTCATAGAAGGTCTTTAGGAGTGTCCCCTGCACTCCAAAAGACCTGAGCCTCCTCAGCAGGTGGAGTTGGCTCTGGCCCTTTTTGAAGAGGGCGTTTTTGTTGTGAGTCCAGTCCAGTTTGTGGTTCGGATGAACACCCAGATACTTGTAAGAGTCCACTCTCTCAATGTCCTTTCCCTGGATGTTCACTGGGGTTGGCGCCGTAGAGTGACGTCTGCGGAAATCCACCACCATCTCCTTGGTCTTCCCCGTGTTGATGGAGGTGGTTCCGCTGACACCAGTCCACAAAGTCTTGCATAACTGCTCTGCACATCATCCTCGGAGCTGAGTCCGATGATGGCAGAGTCGTCAGAGAACTTCTGTAGGACACAACCGTCCGTGTTGTGTCTGAAGTCCGCTGTGCAGAGGGTGAAGAGGAACAGCGCGAGGACTGTCACCCGGAGGTCAGGACCTCAGACACAAAGTCCCTGGTTCTCACAAACTGAGGTAGTCCAGGATCCACTCAGACAAGTCGTAGTCCACTCCAGCTGTCTCCAGAAGGAGAAGAAAGAGGCAAAAGGAAACTAAAGAGAGGCTACGTTGTTCGTGGCTGCTTTTTGAACAACTCGTCTCTGGAGCGTGGCTTGCGGGTCTCCACTACCGCACACGCACTTCCGCTTAGCTAAGTAAGCTACTTTGGGCCATTTATACATAGTACATACAATTGGGGATCGTGACACCCAATTCAACAACAGATGAATCACAACAGTCATGTTTTAAGGTTTAACACATACATGCATACACATTTTTACTACGTTCATCTGTTACATTGCCGAGTTGGGCGTGTTTCAGAGTTCTGTCTTGAAGTCCCTCTCATGGGGCTTCTCACCTCGACTCCCTCTCGCCAGGGAGCCGGCGTGGTACAGTCCTTTGAAGGACAAAACAATGCACAGTCTTTTGATAAGAGTTCCGTCTCGGTAAGAGGTAACACATTATCTTTGAACCATCCGGCCAAATGCCAGGAGGTTCCTTTGTTCTTTTAATCCAATTTTAAGTGTCTGCCGGGCCGTTGTCTGCGGGGTTTCTGGTGGGGGGTGGTAGAGCAGCCTGGGGGGGGGCTGAGATGTTGTTGCAGTGACCTGAAGGCCTGCGGCTAATTAATACTATTACTAGCTTTATAAAATGATTAATTTTAATTTTGCTGCTACTGGACACCTGAAATTCTCCTACGGGATCAATAAAGTATCTATCCATCTATATCTATCCATCCATCCATCCATCCATCTATCTGCCTCGGTTTCAATTAATGTTTTCATCTGATACACTTCACTAAGACTGTTCCAGAACTACAGGGACAATGGAACTGGATTTACTCAAAAACTGATCTGGAAACCAGTGTTATTTCCACAATAAAAGACGCTAACACGGAGCCCCGATCTGTAAGTACAGTGACGTTAACTCTGCGTATACTTCTGTAAACTAAATAATCAAGGTCGATGTGACGGATTGTCATTGTTGGAAAAAGTTTATTCACAAGTCTGAAATGACTATTTACTGGAGGATAAACAACTCGTAGCTTGAGGCTACGTCACTGCGAGGGCGGTGGGAGGTGGGCTCACGGACAGAGGAGCAGACTCCTCTCTGGATCAGCCTGTTTGAGTCGAGGTGGCGTCACCTCTATACAAGAGATGGCTATAATCTCACAAGTTTTGAGTGTTGTGTGGTGTATCACTCAAATTACTATCACACATGTGCATAGGATGGACTGTGAAACATGAAGAAAAGAGTAATATGGATCCTTAAAGGAATAGTTCACCGTTTTTACATACTGACATATGTTCTTACCTTACCTTACCTTAGCGGATAAAACGGGTACTATATTGTGAGGCGTAGTAATCTGAGGAGCGCTACGTTTTATCCGCTGAGAAAATCGACTGTTACATTTCTGTGTTACTATACTTTGCAGTGTAACACGTCACGTAACTATATACATTTAATAGGGAACACTTGGAAGAGTTTGGTAGCTTCTAGCGGGAGCTACCTTTTGGTCCTACACAGTATACAGAGGAGGCTGCGTTTGTGCTCCCGTTTTTGCTCCGTTTGCATGATAGAGCGCACGGACTAAGACCAGACAGGTACGTATTAACTAGTCTAAGGTAAGGTAAGAACATATGTCAGTATGTAAAAACGGTGAACTATTCCTTTAAAACAAAAAATGCGGGTACACGCGAGTATGAGGTGATTAGTGTGGTGCTGAGAAATTGTGCCACAATGTACGCTCTTCTCATAATATATATATGTAATGGCCTCGGATTAGTCCTGTGCTGCAGCCGTAAGCACTTTTTGAAAGGCCTTACAAAAAACGATCAGAAAGCAGACAGGCTGAGAGGGAGTATGCCGGCAAAGCGGGGGAACCAGGCCGCACAGAAAAGTATAAAAGGACAGGATAATGAGCTAATCTAACAATTTTCGGCTAAGGTAAAGACATGTAAATAAATCAGTGCGGTCATCATGTAGTTAAAGCAAGTTTGGTCTGATTTTTCTCACAATTTACTTTTACATGACTCTTTTTTTTGTTGGGATAAAGAAAAGGTCTTTCTTAAGAAAAAAAGTGTATAAGATTCATATCACAATAAAAACATTGCAAAGTGTAAACCAAAAATATATTTGGCTCAAATTATTCCATATCATCTTAATAACACCAATCTGTGAGATGGAGCTTTTTTTGTGTACTTGCATGATTTAAACACATACTGTAACACACA